AACAGAGTGAGAAAATGGAAAAAAAAGAAATACTAATAAATAACGAGAAGCATAAAAAAGAGAACAAAATAGAATACAGGATGGAAGAAGGAAAGAAAAAATACTAGAGTAATTTCAATTTTTTTCCTGATATTTCAATAATGGAGCTTAACATGTTCTTTGAATTCGATAATCTTTACACGAACGAGATGCCCTCGACAACCACACAGAAACCATTTATTACATCACAAACTGATCCATTTAAAACCTAGTTAAAAACGTACCGAGGTATTTATGGCTTTGAAAAAAATTCGAGCATTACCAGTGGTACTCACTTCATACGTTTTTTTATTCATTTATTCTTCTTTAAGTGGGTTTTTTTAGTTTACATTAAGACTAATAACGATTAACTAGATCTAAAATACACCTGAACTTAAACTACCTAAGAGGGGTTAAATGCTTGGATTCATAGAGTTGTAATTGGATGTAAGCGTCAGGGTAAAAGCCTACACAATTCCAATAGATGCATTTTTTTCGAATGCGTACAATTCTGCTGTATTACTGTTCCAGCCCGCACCCGCAGTGGTAGAACTATTAGAAGACCGAAAATATTTGAACATTATTACCCTCCCCCCTCCCCCCTCGGGATATTTTTTGTCGTTGTATTATGGGATGTTGGGCCCCGTGGTCTAGTCTCTATATTTTTTTTGAGTTTGTTTGTAATGCTCGTACTTCATTCGCAGTTGTTCGTATTTCTGGTATTCTTGTAATACTCGTACTTCATTGCATATCTGGTATTTCAATCGCATTTCTAAGAATAAATAGAGGAGGTTTCAAGTTCATAAAATTCACAATTACAGACTAATTATTTACTCAGGGTTAGCCTCGTATCAGTATACAAATATTCACAAATAACAACGGTAAAGTAAAGAATGCACATGCACTACTTCAACAATACAAACACTTTGAAATTCAACTGACCTTCACTGGAACACGGAATTGACCCCTTGCAGCACTTTGGAATACAGCTCAATCTGGGAAACAAAACAATAGGTTCCAATTCTCAGGAGATTGGCATTCTTTTGTTTTGTCCCCCAGATCGAGCTGCTTTGATGTCACATGCAAAGGGTTTTTATCCGCTAGCACAAAATCAATCGTTGTGCAACAGAATTCTGACGGAAATAGAGGTACTGCACCGGTGTCGGTAGGTGTAGTAAAAGCCAAGACGACGAAGTTGGGGCTAATTAATGGTTAAACGTGTTCTGAAATTGGAAACGTTTTTGTCCAAGGTAAAGAGGCCTACGAGCCAACGCGCGTATGCCCCCACGATTTATTAGCCAAAAACTATTTTTTGTTATGAGTTCTATTGCTTTGACATGACTTTAATGCAATAGTTATGTATTGCCATTGCCCCTCAAAACACCGGCACTAGAAATCGTATTTCCGAGAGCCACAGCGATTTCAAAATTTCCAGGGGGTTAAGGGCACCATCTCCCCCCCTCCCTCCCCTACTTCAAACGATAATCCACGATTCCTGTTATTTGCTCCAGCCCTTAAGCAAATCTGCTAGCCTTCATTTGGGACATAACACCGGCTACAGGAGACATAGTTGTAGGACCAAAAGTCAATCAAGGCAGACAAGCACAGCAGGTGCACCGAATCAAATGTCATTAAGAACATATGAAGCTTATCGCTAAAGACAAAGTTTTCTGAACTGCTTGATTCTAATACGCTTTTAAGGATCACTTTAAGACACGTATTTCCTTTAATATTCTTAAATTCGCATTAGTCAAATTGAAATCCTGTTGAAGTCTTATACAGGTGTTTCTCAAAGCGAGCAATTAAACCAAGATGGCGGTCGTCACCGGGTGAAAATCATTCGAAATTATTTTTTGTTAACAAATATAGAAACTGTTCAACATTTGCGAACGCTTTGTAAATCAGTTTTTGAATCCAGAAGAATTTTTCAGCAGATGTTTTTTGTATTCTCTCGAGGTAACATAATGGTCGTCACCCGGTGGAAATCATTTGAAACCGTAAAATATGTTTTAAAACAAATATAGAGGGACTGTTCAACGTTTGCGGACAGTTTAAGTTACTGAATCAGTTTTTGCATTGAATTTTTTGTAGCAGATGTATTTTATATTTCCTCATGGATGGTCGTCACCCGGTGGAAATCATTTGAAATCGTAAAATATGTTTTAAAACAAATATAGAGGGATTGTTCAACGTTTGCGGACAGTTTAAGTTACTGAATCAGCTTTTGCATTGAATTTTTTGTAGCAGATGTATTTTATATTTCCTCATGGATGATCGTCACCCGGTGGAAATCATTTGAAACCGTAAAATATGTTTTAAAACAAATATAGAGGGATTGTTCAACGTTTGCGGACAGTTTAAGTTACTGAATCAGTTTTTGCATTGAATTTTTTGTAGCAGATGTATTTTATATTCCCTCATGGATGGTCGTCACCCGGTGGAAATCATTTCAGAAACCGTAAAATTTGTTAACAAATATAGGGACTGTTCAACGTTTGCGGACAGTATCAGTTACTGAATCAGTTTTTGTATTGAATTTTTCGTAGCAGATGTATTTTGTATTCCCTCGAGATGAAAATCATTTGAAAATCATTTGAAACTAAATTTCAGTTTAAAAATTTGACTGTTAAACGCTTGCGGACATTTCAGCCGTTACTGAATCATTTTTTGTATCAAATTTTTTATAGCAGATGTATTTTGTATTCCCTCGAGGTGATATGAAGGTCGTCATCGGGTGTAAATCGTTTGAAACTAAATTTCAGTTTCAAAATTTGACTGTTAAACGCTTGAGGACATTTCATTTTATTCAAAGAATATAGAAATTTTTCAATGGTTTGCCATTTTCAGACATTTCCTGAATAAGTTTTTACCGACTAGAATCTTTAGCAGGAGTATTGTTTTTTCTATGAAGATGGCTGTCAACTGCTAGAAAATAAATCGAAGTTAGAAATATTTCAAATATTTTGAGTCTTGCTTGTTTTTGCATCATAATACTCCATTTTACAGTTTCAATCAGTGACCACGAATAATAGTTCCTAGCCGAGGCTGGAGTTACCGCGCATGATAAACTGTAGTTTTGCTATGCGTGGAAACTCCAGCCTCGGCTAGGAACTATTATTCGTGGTCACTGAATGGAACTGTACATGGAGTATTGTACTCAATAAGATATAAAATACAGCAACTCTGGATACGTGAAAAGCTGTTCCTTTTATACTTTTTTGGATTCCCTTTGTGCAAAAAGATGGCCACAAGTCTTGACACTTGGAAACGAAGGCGATAAAGTTTAATCATCTACGACATTGTACCTTAAAATACCGCTTATGTTCTTACCTTTTAAAACTGTTATTGCCCCATCCTGTTAGGTCTACTTGGGTAGACATTTTGCGCTTTCTATTCGTGCTAAGCTCTTACAAACAGACAGAACACACACACACACACATACACACACACACACACACAAAATCTCAAAAGAATAAACCAAGAACTTTAACTAAAAATCTCAAAATCTTCTTTTCCTTTTTGCTAAAAAAAATTATTGCATATAAATTATTTTAGTTAGCAATTCTTAATTTTCTTATTTATTCAATCTAATCGTTTTAATTTTTTACAATATTTGGAAAATATTCATATGTTTTGATCTGTAAAATTTAATATAGATTTATTTATAGCTCTTTCTTGAATCATTTATTTATTTCATTTATTTATTTTTTTGAAATATATTCTCTTAAACGCAGAAAGAAAGTTTTCTAGAAAACTAAATAGCTCAATCTATTGTTTTGTGTTATATTTGACCTTTTGAAAGTTATTAAGCTTTTCGACCCCCGTCGATAATTGCCTTTTTTACTAGCTCTGATCTCTTAGTCGCTTATAACTAACCTCAACATAAACAACAGAAAATCTCTTAATTCTCTTTTATCGTATATAGCAAATCGTCTTAGATTTTTTTTCCTTATTGCTCAACTAATCTTCAGTTCTCTACTGAAGACATTCTTTTGTGAGGCAAAAGCTTTGTTTTACGATGTGTAATACACTCAAGGGTTACTAAGAAATTCAACTTAACTTTAAGTACGTCATTGAGACAATTGCACTAAAAAAGTCTTCCACAAAAATCAAGAGCAAATATAAATTCAATATTCTATGCGTAGAACTCTCGACTAACATGTTTTTTCTCGTGTTGAGAGAAAATATTTCGAAACCGCTATTAGCATCAATATAAAAGTGCAAACATGTAACAACTTGATATAGCAATGAGAATACTCCAAGATGATCTCATTTCCATGAAGCATCCTAGACGCTGACACAATAACGTTTCTAGTGTCGTATCTAAATTCTAGAACCCTGCCTTTTTATTCTATTCACAAAAGCATGTTATAACCACGTACGTGCTGTCTTAATCATCCTTCGTTAAGCAAAAAAAATGAGTCACCTTGCCTTCCTGGAAACAGGATAAAAGAAATATAAATTGCGAAAACAAAACAAACAAAAAAAAAACCTTGGAGAGCACTATAGTCCTTGAGAGAAGATGATTTTTTTCTTCTTCTTCAAAATTCATTTTCCTAATTTTCGGCCTTCCACTGAGCTTTAATTTTGTCTGTCCTGCCTTTAATTTCCACCGTAGAAATGCTCATTCATATTAAATACGATATGTTTTTTCTGCAAGCAGTTTATTGTTTCGCTAGCTATATTATATGTTGAGCAACGACTAGCCTTCTTTTATCATCGGATGTATGTCACTTCTATCGCTTCAAAGCAAAGACATTTAATTCCTGTTTAAACCAGAAGTATTCTCCCTTCATGCGACACCTGTTTTGACTAATAAACCAAGCCTACCTAATGACAAATGTTTTTTTTCTGGAACTTTATTTAAATCTCGAGAAATTTTAATTAGGCTTTTATGGGAGAAATTTAGAATTGAGTTGGTCTATGACTCAACCGTAATTGAATTTTTTACGTGGATTTTAAAGCTATAAATTGGTGGAAGAGGATTCAACTCTTGCACTTATTTCATCTGATCTTCGAGAGAGACACTGAGGAAGAATTCTTGGTCTGACAAGTAAGGACAAGAAAATGGACAGAAAATATTTGGTTTCTATCTTCGTGGTTTTGGTTCTATTTTCGGTGTTTGAATGTAATGAGGCGCTAAGCAGTGGCCTTATCTTGAAGGGTGGAAGAAAGAGAACTTATGGATCGTTAGAGTACGAGGTACGTATGGAGTTACATTATGTTGTTGCAGTTTTTTGTTAATATTATTTCTTTGTCCTTCTCTTTTTCTTTCTTGTTCTTTCTTCTTGTTCTTGTTCTTGTTCTCGTTCTTATTCTTGTTCTTGTTCTCCTTCTTCTTCTTTTTGTTCTTGTTGTTGTCGTTGTTCTTCTTCTTCTTCTCTTGTTCTATCATGCTTTCAAGCTATATATTTTTCTTTCCATCTTCTAAAACGTTTTCTCCTTCTCTCTCTCTCTCTCTCTTTCTTTTTAGCCGATCTCCTTTGATCCCGTATAATTTTCCTTACTTTCTTTATTTCTCTCTCTGTTTCTCTCTGTGTGTCTCTTTCATTTCTCTCTTCCAAGCTAGTTCAGTTTTTTGCCTATTAAACACCGCACCTTCTTTTCTTTATTTCTTTATTTCTTTCTTTTTCTTCTCTTGTATAATTTCGGCTGAGCAAACAATTTTGTAAAAAAATTTAAAAGATTAACATCGACTTTGATGAAAATTGACGACAATGCTTGATGCAATTTTCAATTTAAGAGTATCGACAATCTTTTTACAATTTGAACCACAACTTGAACTCTAGTCTAACTGCATAATATTACACCAGAATAATTCCGGATCAAACAAATATTTCAAATAATCAAACACCTTGGAAATTAATTGAAAAATTTCACAATTATAGAAAGAGAGACTATAAAGCTTATTATATTCGAGTTACTTCTATCTGCCCAGTTACAGCTTACTAGCGGTTAGTTCATTGAAACAAATCATTAAGACAAGGAATTAGGTAGGGACAACGAACAAAAGAGGGAAAAACAATCGAAAATTAATAGGAAGGGATGATACACGCACTCACACACAAAGGAAAAAAAGCATAGAAAACAACTGAGGCAGATTTTTTAATCTGCTTATACACTCGATGTAGAATACACTTAACATATAAATCTTTACCGAGTGACAAAAACACATTGCATAAACTTTTTTTCTGTTTTGAGAAAAATAATTTATAACCATTGAACAAATATTACGTTGCACGATATTCAAAAAAAAATCAATTTCTTTCCTCTCTCTATCTCTCTCTCTCTCTCTCTCTCTCTCTCTCTCTCTCTCTCTCTCTCTCTCTCTCTCTCTCTCTCTCTCCATGGCCGTGTTTTCCCCTTAATTTCTCAAAAAATGTTTGACAAACCGCTTTATTTCATGACATAAAACGGCAAACGTTAAGTTCCGAAATCGTTCATTTGCATCAATTGTCAAATAATAACAAATTACCTGACAATTAAATGGGAAGATTACTTTTGAGATTATTAAGAACTTGTTTCGTGCCGCACAGGGGATTTGCCCCATAACATGTTAAGGTTTCATTTATACTAATACATCCTATTGCGAGAAAACCTAACCTTTATTGTAATTCGCTATCCTAGTTATCCCGGACGGGCTTTGATCAACCCAGAGGTCGTTTCAGGGTTCAATCTGTGAGCTAGCCATGCCCTGACTTAGATCAGCCCAGAGGTTGTTACAGTGTTCAATCTGTGAGCTAGCCGTGCCCTGACTTAGATCAGCCCAGAGGTTGTTACAGTGTTCGATCTGTGAGTTAGCCGTGGCCTGACCTTAGATCAGCCCAGAGATTGTTTCAGGGTTCTATCTGTGAGTTAGCCGTGGCCTGACCTTAGATCAGCCCAGAGATTGTTTCTGGGTTTGATCTGTGAGCTAGTCATGCCCGGAGCCAAATATTTAAAAAGATAAGTCATTCCTAGACCGAAATATTCCAAGATCAAACACAAATAATTTAGTCTCTTCAAATCCTCACGTTGCTAACAAACAACACTCACAACACTAACCTCCGCGTTCTTGATAAGAATAATGGTGAAGGTACACAAGTCATTCCAGCCATGCTGCCAGAAACGGAATTATTTTGAAAATGAATACGTCAATTACATCACTTTCTTTCACTATCAGAAAGCAAAAAAATGCAACATAGGAAATAAAGCGTTCACTTAAACAGCACTTTGCTGCAAAACGTTCTGCAGAACGGCTAGTGTTTAAGACCCCGTACACACTATGCCGGATAAATTTGAATCCGAATTTTTATTTATTCGGTTAGGCCTACCGTCCACACTAGTCCGGGCGAATCCGGAACAATTCTTCACCGAAAACGATTTTTTTTCGAGTACGGTCTCCAGATTGGAACAGTTTGAAAACGCCGGCTAGCCGTATTAATGTGGACGGAAAACTTTTTTTTCGGTTTCGGTGTGAAATTAAAATTTGGATTCAAATTTATCCGGCGTAGCGTGGACGGGGCCTAAATTTGATACGAACATCATGTCTATTTATGCTAACAGTCTTTGCTTTACTTTTAATCTTTACAGAAGGAGATAGCAAACCAAGCGATCCAAGATATATGTGCGATCGCAAGAAAACTGGAGTGTGAAGAAAAGTAACCAAACGAGTCCTCCACAAATCGCATCAAAAATGAAAAACTCTAGAATCTAGAAAAATATTATATTTGTCTATTATCAAATATATTGTAAAAATGTGTTGTAAAAAAAGTCCAAGGGTTCATTTTATAGTGAATCTGTGTTATGGAGTCTATAGTTGATAAATAAAATCTGAGTTCAGTCATTGATTTTGTATTTCTATATGGGATAAAGAAAAAGCCAACTTCTAAATTCCAATTGCAATTCAGTGGATGAAGAGCCACTCTGTGGAAATGCCAAAATAAGATCCCATTTTTTATTTATAAAGAAAACGGTAAAAAATCAAATGTAGGGGAAATGAGATGAGGCTGGAAACGATGAAAATATATTAGTAACGATGGGAAAATGGGAAATGAGATCAAAAGAAATGGGTAATTATTAGTGAAAGAAAATATAGATAAGTGTTCATTTTTGTAATCCGACGTGCAGCTTTTTACTTTCGCACATACAAAATGTGTTGATACAAATAAATGGGGTTGCAGTTGTTAGGATGTTGTTTTTGTTGCTGTTTCTGTTGCTAATATAATGTTATTCTTGCTGTTGCTGTTGCAGTTGCTGTTGTTTCTTCTTTTGCTGCTGTTGTTGTGGCTGTTGTTGTTTAGTTGCTGTTGTTGACACAGTTGCTGTTGCTGTTGTTCGCGTTGTCGCTGTTAATTTTGCTGCTTTTGATGCTGCTGTTGTTGATGATGTTTGCTGTTGTTCGTTGTTGCTTGTGTTATTAATGTTGGTGCTGCGGTTCCTGTTGCTTTGGTAGTAGATGTTGTTGTCGTTGCTGTTGTTGTTGCTGCTGTTGCTGTTGTTGCTGCTGTTGTTGTTGTT